TCCTGCCTTATATAATGTCATCATAAGTGAACCAACATCTAATATTTACATAGCCTTCTTTATTGATTTATTATCACTATTATTGAACTACAGTGATTATTGAACAGCCCTTCAGATGTCTCCTCTCCTGTGAGATTCAGCATGACAAATAGACTCAAATTTAAAACACATTTAGAACAGGGAAACCGTTTCCACGAATCTACCCAGGAAAGGCAAGTTTCCGGCTGATGGGCAATGAAACAATTGGGTAAACAATTACCCAGACTTGCCCATCTTAGGGAGGTGGCTGCTGGTGGCCCCGCTCGCAGGCGCATCTCACTCGCCTTGTATTGTGGTTTGAAAAAATAATTTATGTTCATCTTTAACATTATTATAGGCGCTAATTTGAGAGAGAGAGAGAGAGAGAGAGAGAGAGAGAGAGAGAGAGAGAGAGAGAGAGAGAGAGAGAGAGAGAGAGAGAGAGAGAGAAAGAGACGGACTAGGCACTCTACCATCAGGACGTGAGTCAACAATACTAACTCACGCAAAAGAGATGACAAAAACTTAAGAAGGAACGAACCTGTTGGGCAAGGAAGGTTAAAAACTCACCCCTGTAACGGCGACCTTCCCCCCCCCCCTTACCTGTACCTGGCTGTATCGGCGACCTTTCTCCCCCCTACCTGTACCTGGCTGTGGAAATTAGCAATGGAGGGGAAGAGACGGGTAACTAGAGGAAAGAAAATCTTAAGAAAGTTGGAAGGAGGTGAGAGAGGAAGATTATCATACACAATATAATAATAATAATAATAATAATAATAATAACAGTAATAAAGATGATAGTAATTAATCAGTGTCTAGACAAACTAGAGTCTGAGAAATATATAATAATAAAAACTCATCATATTTTTATTACTTTTGGTATGCAGGCGATGAGTCACAGTAACGTGGCTGAAGTATGATGACCAATCCACACACTAGAAAATGAAGGGACGACGACGTTTCGGTCCGTCCTGGACCATTCTCAAGTCGATTGATTCTCACAATCGACTTGAGAATGGTCCAGGACGGACCGAAACGTCGTCGTCGACCCTTCATTTTCTAGTGTGTGAATTAGTCATCATACTTCAGCCACGTTACTGTGAGTAATAATTAATTATTAATAATTAATAATTAATTATAATAATTAATTAATAATGGGTAATAATTAATTATTTCTACCGGCGGCAAAAGACCTTGACACGAGCCATGGAACAAGCTTACCAGTGAGGGCAAGATGGCGCCGGTCTGCCGTCTCCTGTCACAGTTACCACACAAAAGGTCCGCCAGAAGCGAACGAACGAACGAACGCCGGCAGCAAGAAGGGCGCTGTTTTACGGTACGCGCTAAAGACAATGACTATCTTTATATTCCCCCAATTGCCAGGCTCGACCCCAGTGATCACTATGCGCATATCTGGACTCGTTGAACCCCCTTCAGAGGTCACGGGGCGCGCCATTTATGTAGCTGTTTTACCTTGCGCTGGCGTGCCAGGTCGAAGGTCAGTCCGGTTCTCTGTTAGGGTAGGAAACGGGGGGTTGGGAGTGCTTACCTAGCAGTGTTTTCCGAGGGAGTGGCTCTTTATTGGCCTCTACAGCTCTTTGAGGCTAGTGAGTCTACGAGCCTTTTATACCTGATGCTGAGTTTCAATTTAACTATTCTGAGCTTCAAATTCTTTGTCGAAGCTGGCCTTAAAGTTGTGGAGGGAGGTGGCTTCCACTACTTCTTCTTCTTCTTTTAGAATTGGTCGCTCAACTTACAGCATAGAGTACGAGTACATTCTTAAGTCCTTTCGGGTTATTTGGTTTTCCATCTTGCTCTTGTGTCATCTTGTCCTGCTTTCTCTCAATCTTATGAAGTTATTTTTGTCCACCTGGTGGTGGTGGTAGTGGTGGGGGGGGGGGGTAGTGGTGGTGGTGATGGTGGACGTTACGGTGGTGGTAGTGGTTTTGGTGGTGGTGGTGGTGGTAGTGGTGGTGGTGGTGATAGTATTAGTAGTTTATGATATGATATTTGCAGTGTTTGGTGATGGTATGGGAGGTGAAGATTAGTTTTGTAATAATGGTAGATACAGTTAGCGTAGGCACTGTAAAACAGTGGATTATTTGAGGTTGTTGAAGCTAACTCCATACTCAATGTTATGTGCAAATATGATATAACTCATGAGGAAACCGAGTCATTGTATTAAACTTCCAATAGTTTGAAAGGTGGGGCTTAGGAGCTGATTCCTTGACCATGCAAGTGCATTTAGGTACTCACCTAATTGGGCTTGCGGGGGTTGAGCTCTGGCTCTTTGGTCCCGCCTCTCAACCGTCAATCAACAGGTGTACAGGTTCCTGAGCCTATTGGGCTCTATCATACCTACACTTGAAACTGTGTATGGAGTCAGCCTCCACCACATCACTTCCTAATGCATTCCATTTGTCAACCACTCTGACACTAAAAAAGTTCTTTCTAATATCTCTGTGGCTCATTTGGGCACTCGGTTTCCACCTGTGTCCCCTAGTGCGTGTGCCCCTTGTGTTAAATAGCCTGTCTTTATCTACCCTGTCGATTCCCTTGAGAATCTTGAATGTGGTGATCATATCCCCCCCTAACTCTTCTGTTAGGGGGGATGTGAGGTTTAATTCCAACGAAGTGAGGTTTAATTCCCGTAGTCTCTCCTCGTAGCTCATATCTCTCAGCTCGGGTACTAGTCTGGTGGCAAACCTTTGAACCTTTTCCAGTTTAGTCTTTTGCTTGACTAGATATGGACTCCATGCTGGAGCCGCATACTCCAGGATTGGTCTGACATATGTGGTATATAATGTTCTGAAAGATTCCTTATACAAGTTTCTAAAGGCCGTTCTTATGTTAGCCAACCTGGCATATGCCGCTGATGTTATCCTCTTGATATGAGCTTCAGGGGACAGGTCTGGCGTGATATCAACCCCCAGGTCTTTCTCTCTCTCTGACTCTTAAAGAATTTCATCTCCCAAATGATACCTTGTATCTGGTCTCCTGCTTCCTACCCCTATCTTCATTACATTACATTTGCTTGTAATATAATGTAATATATCTGAGTGTTCACACACACACACACACACACACACACACACACACACACACACACACACACACACACACACACACACACACACACACGGGACACTGAGTGGTCAAGAGCTTCAAGTGGGCCACCGGTGACCTGTTGGCCTCGTGTCGTCAGTGTTGAGATATGGTGGAAAGGTCGCCAGCTCGCACCTGTTCCGGCCCTTCAGGGGCCTGCTCAGCGGCGCCCAGAACAGTTACAATCATTTGATGTTTTCAGAGTTACTGTTGTGGGTTATAACAAGAAAATCTCTTTGAAAATAACCTCACAATAGAAATACACACAAAAAAATGTTATATATGATTTTACGTGAATATTCTATACACATTTCAACATTCCTCATTCATTTTTCAGCGTAACTAAAATGTATACAAAAGATGGAAGTGTGCACAAATAATCGGGAATTTTTTTCTTCCCTCTCTATAAATTCCCTTCGGAATCTTGTACGTCGTTATCATGTCTACTCTGTTCCTTCTGTCCAGCTGAGTGGGGAGATCCAGTTCCCTCGGACTAGATCTCTATAGCTCAGGGACAAGAATTATTACATATCTTTGGATATTTCCTTTTGTCGTTGTGTTTGTTATAGGCAGCTGGTCGACCGAGCGGACAGCACGCTGGACTTGTGATCCTGTGGTCCTGGGTTCGATCCCAGGCGCCGGCGAGAAACAATAGGCAGAGTCCTCCCAGCAAGCATAAGAAATATTGCCGGAACAACCGTGGACATTTTCAAGAGGAAACTAGATTTATTCCTCCAAGGAGTGCCGGACCAACCGGGCTGTGGTGGGTATGTGGGCCTGCGGGCCGCTCCAAGCAACAGCCTGGTGGACCAAACTCTCACAAGTCGAGCCTGGCCTCGGGCCGGGCTTGGGGAGTAGAAGAACTCCCAGAACCCCATAGGTATCAACCAGGTATCAACCAGAGTTTCTTTCACCCTATGCCCCTGTTACCTAGCAGTAAAATAGGTAATTGGGTGTTAGTCAGCTGTCACGGGCTGCTTCCTGGGGGTGGAGGCCTGGTCGAGGACCGGGCCGCGGGGACACTAAAATGCCCCGAAATCATCTCAAGATAACCTCAAGAAGAGATAGGGTTCCAGACCAGTGCAGCACACTCAAGAGCCACACAATGGGGGCAAATACGGAATACTCCTTCACCCACGTTCCTGAAACCCCTCCGGAGGCACTTTGGCCACTTTGGCATGTGCTGTCGACGTAATTTTATTGATGTTAACCTCTGGTGTTAGATTGTGTAGTTATGTGTTCTCTTAAGTCTTTCTCTTTCTCTGAAGTGCTAAGCCGGGCCGACTGTAGCACCGTTCTGAAGTGCTAAGCTCTCTCTCTCTCTCTCTCTCTCTCTCTCTCTCTCTCTCTCTCTCTCTCTCTCTCTCTCTCTCTCTCTCTCTCTCTCGTGGTGTGAAGAGAAAAGATAGATTATGGAATGAAAATGTCATCTGGAGACATGAAGTGCAAAAAACAGTAACCGCAAGATTGTGACGAGATGGTTTGGGCATGTTCAACAAAGTAATAATATTAAACTGAAGAAGAGAGTAGAGTTAATTCAGTTTGCGAGTAGGATGAGGAGAGGAGAAGAACTCTGAAGAATTTTATCCAATTGTAGCTTCAAAGATATTCCATTCACCTGGGCTTGACGCTTTCCCCTGATAATTCCCTCCCTCCCTCACCTGGGCTGTAGGAGTCTCGAACCGTTGACCCCACGCCTGTGAGGCCGAAGCTCTGTCGACTGGGCTATGAGTAGTCGTAATAGGGAAAGAATAATAAGAATTTTTAAAGAATGGTAGATTTATGACCGTTCGCTACCGTCTACTAAGCGACTGTTCTGTGGGAAAAGCTTCGTTTTCTGACAGTTACAGGACAGGATTTGGCTACTTTTCGGCGTGTTAGTGGTCACTGCCCCACGTACCGTGACGGGTGTGAGACCAGGCACTGTCATGGAGGCCAGGCACTGTCCCCACACTCTCATGGAGGCCAGGCACTGTCACCACACTCTCGTGGAGGCCAGGCACTGTCACCACACTCTCGTGGAGGCCAGGCACTGTCACCACACTCTCGTGGAGGCCAGGCACTGTCACCACACTCTCATGGAGGCCAGGCACTGTCACCACACTCTCGTGGAGGCCAGGCACTGTCACCACACTCTCATGGAGGCCAAGCACTGTCACCACACTCTCATGGAGGCCAAGCACTGTCACCACACTCTCATGGAGGCCAGGCACTGTCACCACACTCTCATGGAGGCCAGGCACTGTCACCACACTCTCATGGAGGCCAGGCACTGTCATCACACTCTCATGGAGGCCAGGCACTGTCACCACACTCTCATGGAGGCCAGGCACTGTCATCACACTCTCATGGAGGCCAGGCACTGTCACCACACACTCATGGAGGCCAGGAATGAATGCATAAACACGAAATATATTTTTTATTTTTTATTTTCACAACTTTGGTACAAACAACAGTAGACGAACGTCTGTCCTAGCCTGCGTCCATCCTAACCTGCGTCCATCCTAGCCTGCGTAGCTGAAGGACTGGGGCATAGTAAGGATGGCGCAACTTGACAATGCTAATAACAATGGTATTACAGGAGCATGTAACATACAGGGGGAACTAACGTATCGTCTACGGGTCGCCAGATACACACACACACACACACACGTGCGTGTGAACGCAGACACCTTCTTTCAGTCCTATACACCAGCCATACAAGCTAAGGAAGTAGGAATGCACTAATGAAAGCACTCTACTCATACAGGCACACGCACGCACGACCGCACACACATGCGCATGCACAGCTCCAAGCACACACACATGCGCAAGAAGATTAGCCCCAATTTTAGTTTCTCCTAATCCCAAATCCCTCCTTTCCCCTCCCCTCCCCCCCTCCCCTAATCCCCGGGGCAGTCTCTCGTAAATAACGGAGATAACAAAGTGTAATACTAGTCTGAAATGCTTGGCAACTTGTTATACATACTAACACATATATTTATATATATATATATGTATATATATATCTAGCACCCAGCAAACACACAATGTAACTATAACGTTATGACGTCGATACAACGGAAAAATGACGTTGTGGGTACGTTTGGTGTTTGCTGGGATAGATATATATGTGAAAAAAACAGCACAGGGAGTAATCATAATTTAAAAAAAAAATTGTTTATGAATTCCAAACTTGGTACTACGGTGGAAAATATATTAACCTAAGCAAATATAAACGGTAGTAATAAATTAATGTATAAATAAATAAATAAAATAAATAGATAAATAGTTGTATAAATTATTTAACAGTAAAGTTCTGCTAATAACAACATTTCTCTCCACATTACCAATAGTTATGATCATAACACTACAGTAGAGTCGCTTGTTGGGACCTATAAATCCAATGCACTATAGTATCAACAAAAAAAGGAGAAAAAAGGAAAAAAAAACACACTTTGAATCCAAACTTACCCTAACTTACCCTAACTTACCCTAACTCAAGGAATCCATATTATAAGTCCTCAGAAATCACCCATAAACGAACCAAAATTAATCTATAGGCGCTGGATGAGCACCTCCAAAGGATACCTGATCAACCAGGCTGTGACTCATACGTCAGGCTGCGAGCAGCCGCGTCTAACAGCCTGGTTGATCAGTCCAGCAACCAGGAGGCCTGGTCGACGACCGGGCCGCGGGGACACTAAGCCCCGGAAGCACCTCAAGGTAGCCTCAAGGTAGCTGGATGAGCCAAGGGTTCGTATATTAGGGAGTTTCTCTACAAATCCTTTTGTTTACATTTGCGATTCCGAATTCACAAAATCCTCTCTTGAAGCTGCTTTTGTGGACTTTTCATAGTGGTTTCGTGTGGTGGTTCGAACTGAATTCGAACCACAGGTTATCCTGTGGATAATTCAGACTCAGAGATACTCAGACACGAACGGATTTATTTTTGTTGGAAGCGTTTTGTGAATCCGGATTTAGGGTGCAAGGCAGAACGGACACGATTGAACAGTGTGAGGAATGCAAGCATAGCGAAGGATGGCAAAAACAAAGCAAGCAATCAAACAACTCTTAGCCGTTAGCGAGTAAGCGTTGTCTGCTTATTGGCAAGCAAGCAAGCAAGCGATCAAGCATAAAAAGACTATGTATATGCATGGTATATAAGCAAGCGCTTTTTACAATGCAAACAATTGTTTTTGTATCCATTAATAAGCATGCGTTTATTTGCAAACAAATTTGTTTTCAAGATCAGAGTATTTGTTAGTAAGGAAACCTAAGTAGTTATTAAGTAAGCAGGAACTGATTATTGAATATTAATCATATATATATAATACACATTTTTTATTAATTCTCTAATGATTAATCCGCAAATACTGATTTTTAGAAATAAACTGTTAGCAAACAAATACTAATTGTCAACAAACAAATACTAATTGGTGAGAATAAAATGCTTTATGTTAGTAAGCAAATACTAATTGTTAGTAAGGAAATGTTGATTGTTAGCAAGCAAATACTAATTGTTAGTAAGGAAATGTTGATTGTTAGCAAGCAAATACTAATTGTTAGTAAGGAAATGTTGATTGTTAGCAAGCAAATACTAATTGTTAGTAAGGAAATTCTGATTGTTAGCAAGCAAGCCTTATTAATTAACACTTAAACTCTATATTTTTTAGCTTCTAAGCATCAATTGTTAGGACTTCAGGCTCATGTTAGTAGTCCAGCACCCGCTGTTAGCGCTCAAGGAAATATTGTTACCACTCAAGTATCAACCATTGGCCTTGAAGCACCAGTTACTAGCACTCAAGTAAGAGGTCAAGTACCAGTATTTAGCACTCAATCCCTTCCAAATAGCACTCAAGCACCAGTTGTTAATGGAGGGATGCAATTAAGCGTACAGGCATTATAAGCACTCAAGCAATAACGGTTAATAAGCGAGGTCAGTTTACCATTAAGCAAAGGTTAAAAAGGCTAATGACTTTGGTTAAGGCTCTTGACATCATCCTCTCTATAAACTTTGTTATTCAAGCATAAATAAATTCATTATAATGTATAAAATCATGGCTGATAATTGGAAATTAAAAACTTTTCTCACTATGTATTTGTAATAACGTAACTACTGCTCATGTCATTATTTTTATCTTTTTTCAGATCATTTTCGAAGAAGAGGGAAATGTCGAGAGCGGCACCCCAGTCACTGCAGGTTAGTAGGGAGTTATAAACGTTAGTAATATTATTCTACAACATTTGTACAGGCAGGGAGGACATGCAGGGGGGGGGGGGCTGCAAGCCTGTAATCTCTATGCACTGAGAAAGTATTGGCGGTACAGGTCAGCTCTCTCCATACATGTAAGGCAACAGACACGGGTCTACAGGTCATTTTGCTCTCCAAACATACGAGAAATCCGGCCAGCTAGTACCACACACCTTCAAGGATACGAACCCAAACGGGGTTCTTACAGCAGCAGCAGCTGCTGCCTTGCACCTAACTTGAGCAAATACTAGACAACTTGCAATGGGATTGTTACACAAACGCACACACCAGAGAGCTTCGAACCTCTGTTACATAACGGTAACTTGTCGTAGCCATTGTACCTCGGTCCATAGAGTGCCAGGCGATGAACAAGTGGTTTGTCCCTAAAGTGTCGTCGCTGTGGCATTAAAACAGTGATATCTACACTAGGCCCTCCCCTCCCCCTCCCCCTCCCCCCCCCTCTCCCCCACCCCTCTATCCAAGTCTCTACTGCTACATATATATACAGCATTGGTTCACACACACATATATAGTTAGCAACTTCAGCTTAAAGGTCCCAACTAGAAATCCTAACTGCGTATATTTGAATAGGGGGGAAAGATGTTGCTTGTCTTGTGCCTGTTTTTCTCGTTCTAGTTGAACGGGTGAATATCCCTGGTACCTGCACCAATAAGCACGGGATGAGGCGAGAGGGGTCCGGCCCATTCGCTCGGGCGCCAGTTAGTCAAATCAAAGTTCATATTTGATCACATATATATTTTGCACGCGAGAGATTTCGATTCAGTATGGCGAGTTGAGCGTTCACATGGGCGTGAAAGAGACACATCTCTATATAATTTACAGAGAATATTAAAAGCTGGAACAAAAATTCAAAGTATTGTAAATTACGAGCGGGAATCTTATCACGAATACTCTTTGATTTAACCACAACGCCAGGCTTTGAACGGGTGACCGCACCTCTCCCGACCTACCCCGGGAGTCCCCAAAGCACCGCCACCACCACCAGTCGCCTGCAAGCAGCGTCTCCAGCAAGACTCACCCTTCCCATCACATCAACAACAACAATATTAACGGCAAAGGAAGCCTGGCCAAGGTGAGCCCGAGGATAATAATGAAAATATGAATTGGGGCCCTGACGTTCGCTGAATGATGCTGACGTCAGGTGGGACTGTTGCCCGTCGCTAGCATGGCCTGACGTTGGCTGAATGATGCTGACGTCAGGTGGGACTGTTGCCCGTCGCTAGCATGGCCATCCTTCACCAGACTTCGATTGTTTGAAATTGTTTGATGGTTCCAGCTTTGGGTAAAGAGCAGCCGAGAGTTCTAGTAAATATATCCCAAAGATCGAGTCACTAAAAGTTCTGGTTCAGTCCGGGTTTTTCTTTTCTGGTAAAATTGCGTCACTTATCACAATATGTCACGTCACAAAGACACTGCCGTCACACAATTAAATGTTATATAAAAACAACCTTATCACTAAGTTATTACAAGTGTGTCCTATGATACACCAGGTATAATGCCCTTGGTAATAGCCTTTGAGTTTTGAGTTTTTCAGTGGGATGCCTCTAATTTAGAGATCAAATTCCAAATGCCCAATGTTAGATAATCTTGTGATTTATCGTAAATGCCCCTCTTGTGGAGGTAGGTTCCAGAAATAGCAGGTGAAGCATTTCGTGACTTGTCAAGTCAAGCCAGCGTCTTCACTAGTGTCTTGTATTAGTAATGGAAGCCGCTCGGCCACCTGGTTTGGGCAGGAAGGTTCTTGGCGGCCCAGCGTGTATCTTTGCGGCAACGTTGCCCACTGTGTCTCGTCTCGATGATATCAAGACCAACGAGCCCCAAAACCTTGTCAGGGATCTGCCAGGTTCCATCGTAATATTCCCATTGGTTGCCTCGTGTTACACGCTGGCGGTAATGTTGCACACAGTTCCTAGGGCCAGAAGGTTTCGCCCTCCTCTCCCGTGCTGACTCCATCCAGCTACATGCCTACAGGATCTCAATAGGATAAAGCGAATCTTGGCGGACATGAGCAGGATGGTGACGGGATTGGAGGACACGCGGAGGTCGAGTTTCCAATTTGCGAGTGTCTCTTGCGCCCGTCTCACCAACTTTTCTTCTCAGCGAGGCGTTGAGGACGGGGCGAAGGGCTCCTGTGAGCACGCCGGCGGCTCGAGCGGGGAGGAGCTAGATCCTGCGTGGGTAGCCAGAGTCGTAGAGCTGACGGAGTGACTCTGTGGTGGTGGCCGGGCTGAGAGGCTCCTCAAGCTTGCTCCTGCGGCGGCGGTGCCACACGGCCGTCCACGCCACGATGATCACCAGCTGCGCCACCAGGAACACCGAGCAGGCCAGCACTAGACCCACCATGTTGATGCATACTCCAGATACGTCCTCCTGGAGCACGATCTCGGCGTCTCCCTCCACCTGGGATGGGGGCAAGAGAACACGTCAGGACGCTACTCACCCACACACAAAGACCAGACACATCACTTCTATCCATGTTCATGCTGATTTAAATAACCAGTAATAGCAATTTAAGCTATGAGTATAAATACAATTATATATACAAAAATCTAAATTATAAGGATCATTGATTAATAACAAAAGCTATAAAATAGTGATAAGACCTGAACAAAATTATTTTATAATGCAAATAATAACTTATGCCATGCATAGAGCCAACCCACCCCGGTTTTGGTCTCCTTAAAGAGGTTGTTGACGGACTTGTCACGGCTCTGGGCCTGAGGGCCACGGAAACCGAACTTGTCGGAGATCTTGATAGACTGGACAACAAGCATCTCCTCGGGGATTTGCTGCTCGGGCGCTTCTCTCCTGATGCGGTGGCTGACAGAGGCATCGGGGAAGTTGTCGACAAAGCTGAGGGCTTGAACGTCCAGCATATATGGGCTGCGCTTTACGATCTGTGGACCAGGAATCAGGTAAAATAAGATCAAGCTTACGGAGGGAACGTAATAAACGTGGGGTTATTTCAAGTGTATATTATACATATATATATATATATATATATATATATATATATATATATATATATATATATATGAATGTGTATGGATGGATATAAAGCTTTTGAATACATTAGCTCACAAAGTCTTACCCTTTGAACAGATGTCTCAGAAATGGCCTGTGGGTTAAACATTGAAGCACCAAAGTCAAAGAAGATAGACTCCGACACCTCCCTCTTCTTCCTGCCATAGCTGTCTACCTTCTTCATCTGTCCACCAAAGTCGAGGATGTCACAGACGACGGGCTCACAGGTAGGTAGACAGGGCGTCACCAGAGCACGGAACTGAACCACATCGCTCGTAGGGAACTTGAAGGCGTCGAAGGAAGCACCCAAAATCTGCATGGAAGGAACAGTTAGACTTGCTAAGCTGTTACAGAAATTTATATACTCGTATATAAGGGAACATTATAGATATCAGATTTTGATAGAGTAAAAAAATCGAGTGATTACCTTGCCTGTGTAGTCGATCTTGACAAGTTGCCTCATGATGGAGATCTCGGTGGGGCAGCCGCGGCTGTCAAGGAGAGTGATGTTGTTCGTGTTGCTGCCGTCCATTGCATACAAGTTATGCACAAAGATCTCGTAAGGAGAGTTCTTGTCGGGGATCTCGAAGATGAGCTGGAGCAGGTCTCCCACGGATGCATCGGAGATGTCATCGCCGTTGCGGTTGGCAACTCGCATGATGACGTTGGGAGAGTCGACGGTGCTGCCTTGTTCCAGAGCGGGCTTGATGTCTCCTTCGACGGTCAGGTCGACGCGGTTGCTCACACTTTTGTTGCTCAGATCGTATTGACAGTGGACGCTGAGGCCCAGGTCAGCCGAGGTCACAATCAGGTCGTGGTGCTGAAGGATGACGTCGTTGCTGTACTTGGCGGCAGCGTCACGTTCCACACTGCAGTCAATATTGTTGTAGGGCATCAGGAGGTCGAACTCCAGGGTACCCTTGACGTCATTGACGCAGGTGTTGGGGGAGCCCTTGGCGTAGATTTTGCCATTGAAGATCTTCGAGGTTTTGATCTTAACGATCATGTCTCCGGAGCGGCAGTCAATCGTTACGTTGTAGCAGGAGGAGAGTTCGTATGTGGAGGAGCCGGGGATCTCGAGGTAGGGTTCCTCGATGTGGGTGAGGGTGGCGGCGGCGTGGTGAGAGAGACGGCACACGCTGTCTCCGGTGTCACCGTAGTCGAAGGAGTGGCACCTACGGGTCGTGCAAGATTAAAATTGTGTTGCAAGATCCCGAAGTTCATGCAGCATGGGTTTAATAGGTGATATAAGATAACATTAATACAAAATAATTTACTTATATAGATTTCAGTATCCTGAACAACATGATTCATGAAGTCATGATCTGCCACCCTGAGACACCTACCTGAAGGAGGCGGTGAGGCATAGTCGCTTGCAGTCTTCCAGTCCGGCAACCTCTTGGTACACAGAGTCGACCGTCTTCAGGATGCGGCCCTCCATCTTCTGGAACTCGCACAGTCTGACGGGGTCATCGACGCAGTTGTTCTCCAGGAAGTCGCTGTTCTCCGCTGCTCGGAAAGAGCCGGTTCCGACAGCCGTGTGCCTGTCCATGTCCGAGATGGAACAGTCGCCTGTAGCGTTGTTATAGCTAGCAGACCTGTGGGATAGGGACGAAGTGTGATGGTGAGACCCTGGCTCGGTAACCCATCCACTGCCTTCCGCTTGACATTATTTTTCAAATCAGCAAAACAAAAAAATGGATTATAAATGACCTCATGTAAGCCTCACGCTGTCTCGAACTATCTCGAGACTCTCATGAAACAGGAGTATAACGCCTCACCATATTGATACTCTTCCATATATGAGGTGTGACGGAAGCGGTTGAACTAATTAAAAAAATATCAGTGAAACAAAATTCTTCCCTTGTGCAACTCCAGCCTCCGCCCTCATCGCGTTCTCTTTGCACGCCTATTCAGCATCCCTTTATCTCCATGATAGGTTCAGTTTTGTTTTGTATCTCGCTCCTTTGTATCTCGCTAGAATTATTTAACGAAGACAAGAAAAAAGAAGTATCAGTGCTCCAGCATCATTAGACATCAGAATATTTATCGAGAAGAAAGTCCGTTAAATTGTAGTCTATTACTTGACTGGCATGAGAATCACAATTTTCAGACACCGATGAATAGGACCATCGGGGAACTTCCTGGAATCTTTAGTTAGACTCCTTTGGTCTATTGGAAATATTTCACTTACTTTGTCACCGCGTTTTAGTCAACACATTTGTTCCATCGTGATGTGTAACGTTGGCAGATTCTTAGATGCTATGAGTATAAAGTTGGAACAGTCTTATTAGCTTCTTAAGCTCCGAGATACGGACTGTCTGATTGAACACCACTGTCAGTCCTTCAGTATGAATAACAAATGTAAAATATGGACTTTGCCCATTAATCATGTTTATATAGTATTTCCAATGAACCCAATTAAATGGGTTTAACAAGAACAACTGTTGTTGTTGAGCCAGTTGGTGGTAGGTGAAGCATGACTAGTCGTAGAGACTCGTTCTTTAAGCTTTATTTACAATGGGCGAGTGAACCAGTGTGTTGTTTTCATCGGTAGCGTTGGTATGCCGCACTGTTTAGGTCCGCACGTGATGACTTGAGAGTTACTAGTGAATCACGTGAGAATCTTTTGCTCACAAAGGAAACAGCTCCAACAAAAACTTTCTGTATTTAAAAAAAATATATCAACCTAAAAATAACTCTTTTTAATTCACAACTTCATCGTAAACTGACGGACATAGGATCCTTTAACATAGTCACGTATCCTCACACAAAGCTGGCATTAACCGAACGATGAAATCTAAATCCGCTTATAATCCAGATTCGCCAACACAACCAGTGACTGAAGAGACATTTATTAAAACGAAAAAATCCCAGAAAAAAAGAAGATTCAAGATTTCTCCTAAATAGCTTTAAAAATCACTGAATAGCTGCTTCCATGAGTCCTGAAATGAGGGCCATTGCGGTTAGAGTGTATTCATAAAGAAAAGAGCAAATTCCAAGCTGGCGAAAAACTGCTTTTGAAACAAGCACTCTCTCTCTCTCTCTCTCTCTCTCTCTCTCTCTCTCTCTCTCTCTCTCTCTCTCTCTCTCTCTCTCTCTCTCTCTCTCTCTCTCTCTCTCTCGTCAATCTTGATCACGCCTCGAAAAGCATTGCTGTCACTCATTGCTTTGACCTTTCGTGGCCCCTAACCCGGATCCCGCTTCTTAATCCCACAGCTGTCTGCTCAGCCACCAGTAAAACTAATAGCAGCAGAATTGGACACCCAGTTATACATGATCAACATGTCAAGTTTATGAACGTCTCGCTTGTGTGAAATGGCTTCAGTGGCTGCCGATCACCCAGTCATATGTGTGTGTGTCACCCACCAGTCAGGTGTACTGACATCCATCAGTCAGGTGTACTGTCATCCACCAGCCAGGAGGCGTACTGTAAGTCACTGGAGCCAGTCACTGGAACTATACCATGTACCCAATGGTTTCTGTAAGGAACTGTGTGTTAGTGTATAGCGGTCCCGTCTCTTAGCTATCAATCAACTGGTGTATAGATTTCTGAGCCTACTGGGCTCTATCATATCTACATTTGAAATTGTGTATGGAGTCAGCCTCCACCACATCACTGTATTTTATTGAGAGAAACCTCAGATATATATATATATATATATATATATATATATATATATATATATATATATATATATATATATATATATATATATATATATATATATAAACAAGGAACTTATATATATATATATATATATATATATATATATATATATATATATATATATATATATATATATATATATATATATGTCGTACCTAGTAGCCAGAACTCACTTCTCAGCCTACTATTCAAGGCCCGATTTGCCTAATAAGCCAAGTTTTCCTGAATTAATATATTTACTATAATTTTTTTCTTATGAATGATAAAGCAACCCTTTTCTCTATGTATGAGGTCAATTTTATTTTATTGGAGTTAAAATTAACGTAGATATATGACCGAACCTAACCAACCCTACCTAACCTAACCTAACCTATATTTATAGGTAAGGTTAGGTTAGGTAGCCAAAAAAAGCTAGGTTAGGTTAGGTTAGGTAGGTTAGGTAGACGAAAAAACATTAATTCATGAAAACTTGGCTTATTAGGCAAATCGGGCCTTGAATAGTAGGCTGAGAAGTGCGTTCTGGCTATTAGGTACGACATATATATATATATATATATATATATATATAAACAAGGAACTTATATATATATATATATATATATATATATATATATATATATATATATATATATATATATAAACAAGGAACTTATATATATATATATATATATATATATATATATATATATATATATATATATATATATATATGTCGTACCTAGTAGCCAGAACTCACTTCTCAGCCTACTATTCAAGGCCCGATTTGCCTAATAAGCCAAGTTTTCCTGAATTAATATATTTACTATAATTTTTTTCTTATGAAATGATAAAGCAACCCTTTTCTCTATGTATGAGGTCAATTTTTTTTTATTGGAGTTAAAATTAACGTAGATATATGACCGAACCTAACCAACCCTACCTAACCTAACCTAACCTATATTTATAGGTAAGGTTAGGTTAGGTAGCCAAAAAAAGCTAGGTTAGGTTAGGTTAGGTAGGTTAAGTAGACGAAAAAACATTAATTCATGAAAACTTGGCTTATTGGGCAAATCGGGCCTTGAATAGTAGGCTGAGAAGTGCGTTCTGGCTATTAGGTACGACATATATATATATATATATATATATATATATATATATATATATATATATATATATATATATATATATATATATATATATATATATATATATATATATATAAACAAGGAACTTATATATATATATATATATATATATATATATATATATATATATATATATATATATATATATATATATATAAGTTCCTTGTTTGTTTTGAATAATTTCTCAAGCATCTGACGCCAGCAAAGCACTGTCTCGCCTCGACAGGAGTCTCCTACCATCATCACTTACGGTGTCGCTCGGGGCACTCAAACAAATCTTCGGTTTCCGGCCCTAAACTCCGGTTCCCAGCCCAAAGTGCCGGTTACTGATGGGCGTTCAGACGCCGACGACACCACCGAGTTCTCCCTCGAGGTGCTGGATGGAGACTCTGGGGGGACTCGGTGGAGGATGACGGCTGTCACAGTGTGGAGGATGAGGCTGAAGGATGTTGATGATGGAGCTACCGAAGGAGTTGTTGGAGCTGATGGTTGATGTGAGAGGTGGAAGGAGGGGGGGGGGTGAAGTATCGAGCTGTGCATGATTCCCGCAGGGCGCTGTGCTGATTCTTTGAGGAAACGTAGGTAGTGGTGGTGGTAGTTGTGGTGGCAATGGTGGCGGTAGTTGTGGGGGGGGGGGCAGATTTGGAGGGTGTGCCTGCCGGTGGGTTTGAGTGAAGACACCCACCGGCGACCTGATCCATCCTATCGCAGCCAGCGGCTCCGTTACATACCTCACGCAACTGCTGCAAGAGGGAGGTGGTGGTGGGAAGGGGGGAAGAGGAAGGGGAAGCGAGGCAGATAGGGAGGGGAATGTTATTCCTTCCACATCATGTGAGAGTTGAGGATGGGACGGTCGGGGTGGAACAGTGTGCAGTGGTGGTGGGGGGAAAGGGGTTGGGGGAAGATCAGGAGATCTGACAAGCAGGGGAAAAAGAGGGGTGCGGAAGGGAGGGGGAAGTGAAGGGGGTGTTGGATAGAGGAAAGAGAGGGGGGAGGCATGAAGGAGGGAGCGTGACCCCGGGTGGTAACCAGGTTACCAGGAACAATCGTCAGTAACTGTTGACGACTTCCGCAAGACGATGACGCGAGACGGACACGGAGCTCTGTTGAACGTGGTTATTACTCTTGTTGACGTGTGAGTCACACTGAGGGACTCGTCGTGTGAGACACACTGAGGGACTCGTCGTGTGAGACACACTGAGGGACTCGTCGTGTGAGACACACTGAGGGACTCGTCGTGTGAGACACACTGAGGGACTCGTCGTGTGAGACACACTGAGGGACTCGTCGTGTGAGACACACTGAGGAACTCGTCGTGTGAGACACACTGAGGGACTCGTCGTGTGAGTCACACTGAGAGACTCACCGTGTGAGACACACTGAGGGACTCGTCGTGTGAGACACACTGAGGGACTCGTCGTGTGAGACACACTGAGGGACTCGTCGTGTGAGACACACTGAGGGACTCGTCGTGTGAGACACACTGAGGGACTCGTCGTTTGAGACATACTGAGGGACTCGTCGTGTGAGACACACTGAGGGACTCGTCGTGTGAGACACACTGAGGGACTCGTCGTGTGAGACACACTGAGGGACTCATCGTGTGAGACACACTGAGGGACTCGTCGTGTGAGACACACTGAGGGACTCGTCGTGTGAGACACACTGAGGGACTCGTCGTGTGAGACACACTGAGGGACTCACGGTGTGAGACACACTCAGGGACTCGTCGTGTGAGACACACTGAGGGACTCACGGTGTGAGACACACTCAGGGACTCGCCGTGTATTAGAACTAGGAAAAA